ATCGTGCCTGTGGAACCCAGTGTTGAGCACATATACACCTATGTATTGCAGTCCTCCAGGAAATCAAGTTTCTTATTGCCTTGTTCCAGGAAAACAAGGTTCCTTATTTCCTTATAATACGAACTCGGCCCCTTGTACAAGAAAGTACTTAACACTTTAAAAAAGCTTTTCCTGTGATCTCATTACTGTGCCCACTGTGTTATGTGTTAATGGAAACCTCATCAATTACTGGCTGTTCAGCTACATCCTGTGCAATGCAGGGTCACCCTATGGAGCTTATATGGAATTATGGACAAAAGGCCTATTCTCTTCCACATAAGCACAAACCCAAATTAATTTTGAGTCAGACTTGGCAGCATTTCAAATTTCTGCTGCCCATGTAGTTAAAAAGAATGACACTAATGAATAAAATTATTTTATAAGAGCGCTGACTTACATGCTAAAAATGTTGACTCATTTGGGCGCCTGTTCCATGGCTCATTTTGCACATGGAAGTCTCCTTTGTGAGAAGCCTTGCTTCTTCTCCTAGTCCTGACTTCAGCCTGGTGTTTGATCTCACCCAGTGCCCGCTAGGTCATGTGTACAAGTTTTTCCATTTATTCCAGCACTTGATCTATTTGCCCCAGCCTAGTTAATTATATGAAAAAAAAGAAGCACAAAATTACTAGCTAGACAGTAAGGAAATAATTTCATTGTTGTGCCTGGCTGTTTGACTACATTTTCTCTGCTTTGTACTTCTTTCCTGGGGGAATTTTTCAAATAGCTCATTGCCTGAAGTCAGCCCTTGGTCTGAGCTGTCCCATCTGTGCTGCTGCTTGATGCTAACATGGGCAGGAGGGAATGAAGGAGTGAATACCTTGGATAGGGCTATCAGTGGCACTGAGACAGGACTGAGTCAGGCCTTTACTTGTCACCAGTATTTTAACTGAATTCTATCAACAGCTGGAAGTGCTCAGCTTTTCTAAAATCTCTGCTGACAGCACACTGCATGAGTGACTCAAAAATAAAGGTAAGCAGCTTTACTGAACACAGGAAGAGGCTAATCAGTGAATTTTCCTATTGATTCAAATGGCAGCAGAATTAGACTGATTCTCCAGCGGAATTTTAAATGCCGGGTATTAAATGTTTTGAAATGCAGGACTACTATTTTTGCACGGTTAACACACACATCAGATATTTTCACCTATACACATGAACCACTCATTGAAAATTAGTCCTCTAATAACCTGTATCCTCACACAATGCAAAATCAGAGCCAGCCACAGGGAAGAACTATCAAGTGCTTTTAGAAAGCTATTAGGATGAAGGAAGCTCTTGAGTAAGTTTCCTTTAAAGCCTTGCATATTATGAATAACCCACACTACTCTGGATTATGTGAGTATTTCCATTATTTCCATTTCTTGGGTAACCTAAGGAATCTATGCACAGAAATATGAGGGGAGCAGGGGGTGTTGAAGTGGTCAGATCCATTCATAACTATGAATTATTTATTATTATTTGTTTTATCAACAGTTTGGTGTTGGGGCTATCTAAAATCAGTAGAGAAAAAAGCAGCCAACCCTGTGGAATTGTACAGAAACTAAAGCCTATTCTGGCAGATGACTTCCAACTGCTGTCTTGGAAGTTGCCAGTGCACAGCACAGATTCCGCAGCTTTGGTCACGAGTGTTGGTCTACAGGACTGCTGTCAAAACAAGCTAAATACCGAGACTAAGTACTGGAACCATTTTGCAAAATCAGGAATGGGCTTCACCTGGAGCCAGTTCACCCTCTGTAATGTCATCTTAATGCATTATTTTCCCTACCAATCCCAAAAGACCATAACAAGCCTTTGCTTTCCTATATAAATACAGGCTTTGTTAAACACAGATTAATGAGTTGAAATCCCCCAGTGCTGCAGCAGGAGTTTAACTTGCAGTTTCCACAGATTTGTGATTTTTCAGCATTTTTTGCCTTTTTTTCCTAAAAAGCTGGATGCTGTAATTTCAGAATCCAGGCTATATGTAACACCCAGATTGATTTTGAGGTTTCCAAAGTACTACTTGCTTATTTTCCTAACTAAGAAAACATATTTTTGATTTCCTTTTCATTTGCAATTCCTTATTCATTTGCATTTCCTTTTTCAAAAGCAGTTCAATTTGTGAATGAGTTTTCAATAGTTTTGTACAGTAGAGAGAACAATTTTTAAGGTGGCTAAATGCACTAAGAGTATTTAATATCTGGAATCTTTCTAAAGCTATATCAGAGTAATAATCCTCTGTTTCTTGTTTCTAAATATGTGAAGGTAAAGCCTACCTTTAAAGTTTAGTGCAGTTTTTTACCGTTATTTTAAGTGTGAGAGTCCATTTTAAATCCAAAAGAATCAAGCTTCTCCAGACCACAGTCTATAAATATAACTCTTGCTTTGTCTTTGCTCTTTCCAATAACTTTTGAGTGATTGTGACTGCATGTGACAGAGGTAGAAGTCACAGAGATAATGAGCTTCCTCTGAGTGTGATAAAAGCAGTCAAGCAGATCAGAGTGATTCTCTGCGTGGCACCTGTAAGTGCCAGAGCCACAGGACAAACTGTGCATGTGCTCAGACTGTTCAGACACCAGAGAAACCATATGGGGGAGACACTCACAAATGCTCAAGCCAAGACAGACGCTGCAAGCAAAGTGCAAAGCATACAGCCTGCAAAAAACTGTCCATCAGCTCCAGGATTCCTTACAAGAGTGCCCCCTCCTCTTTACAGTAAGTTTACTATCAATCTCTTGAATGGACACCAGTCTGAGTCCCTAATTTGTAACAAAAGCTTTATTTCCTGTAGCATTAACAGACCTCATATCATAGGGAAAGCTCATTTATAGTTTCTAAAACAAATGAAGGCTCCTTCTCCTTATAAGACCACATCAAAAAGAACAATCATTATAAAAATTAAAATCTTCAAGAGTCAGTCTGTACATGTGGATCCTTCCATTAAACATGAACCCTGTCTTGGGAGTGAATCATTATGACACTGCTTTTTTGTTTCTTGATGCTTTTTTGGAATTGTAGTTACTTCCAAACCTTTTTCCCTGAGGAGCCTACCCTCTTTTCCCCCACCTCCTGCTGAGTACCATTTTGCAAGCTCAAGCACAAATACCTCTACCCAAATAGGTAAAGAAAGTTCACTGCACAGCCCACACACCTTGGGGAGGCGAATGCAATCAGAATACATGAGTTAAGTGCCAGGCTCAGAGCTTTGCCTGAAGCACTTTGCAAGACTCACCATAACCATACTAATTTGTTTTCTTTCCCCTGTGCTGATCAGGAGAACCCTTTTTCTTCCAGGCTACAGAGGGGTTGGAAAAAGAGCTTAGGTCAGGGAAAATGAGATATTGTTACTTGATGCCAAAGAGTGTTTACTAGGCAATGAAGGAAACCTTAACAAGCTAGGCTGAGCATGCTTTTAACTGGTCCTTCCCAAAGGATAAAAGTAAGCAACTTGTCATGACAGAAACAGAATTTCAGACAATTTAAAAATGGTCATAATGAGTTGCTTTCAGGCTAATATCTTGTATATAGTCAAATACTTTGAAAACAAATTAAATTCTTGCCAGTCCTGATGATTTTTTTAAATAATGCATATCCATATCCCCAGAAGAAATCTCAGCAAGAAAGAACAATCTGTGCATTTCTGTCCACAAAGAAGTGCAACAGACACTGTGAGAGCATAGTTTTCACGTTGCTGTAGAAACCCCAGCAGAGTATGCTTTAACTTTGTGAGTGATTAAAGTACAAACTGTAATGCTGCCATAAAGAATTAACCACAGATAAGCAGAACTAAGATGAACGCGGGCAATCCCAAACACTACGTTATCTGCTTTCCTTAGCATTGGAGCTCTTTTGTTCTTATAAACCCAAGTTTAAACTGATAAAGTTGCATTTTGCACCTTTTGAACAGTTTGGAGGTTGCTAAAGGAAGGGCACAGTTCACTGGATATATGTGGCATTCTGCATGGAAAGCAAAATCACTCTCTTTCTTTTAGACTTTTGTCTCAACAAAAGATAGTGGAAATATTCATGTGCTCACTCAAGAACCAAAGTGACACTTTCCAGACAAAAAAATTAGAGAGGAAAAGGGACCTTATGGAGAGGTGAATCAACAGACTCACATTACAAATTGCCAAATAAAGCGTACATGCTCCATGAGGTGGAATTGGACCTCAAGAATGAAGGGCATAGATTAAAACCAGCAGTAAAGTACAACATAGTGACTAACCCAAACTAACAACCAAATGATGTGAGACAAAGAAGCCATGTGACTGACAGCCATCCCGATGGGACAAGGAAATCAGAGATGATCAGGTCATGCAGACCTCTGCAGCGCTCAGAAATAAGCAGATTACTATTCAGAGCACATGGGACTGGGATAATGCTAAACCCTCGAAGACATTTCACGGCATTTGTTTCCAGCCCCTTTGCTCCCCGCTAACACGTCAGGGGATCTCTCCATCCCCTGTGCCCCCGGACGGCCCTGGGGGCCTCTCGCCCCGAAGCTGCGCGCCCCAGGCCAGGCTCTGTCCCGGCTCCTTCTGTTCTTTGTGAGGCTATCGGAGGTCCGGGAAGAGACAGGCACGGGACAGGGCAGAGAAGGTGGCTGCTAGGGGAGCCCCAAAGCGAGGGGTGGGGTGAGCCTGCGGTGAGACCGCGGGCAGAGCAGAACTCGAAGGGACGCCGGCGAGGGTGAGGGATGGTACAGGGGTGGTAGCCCCGAGGCTGGCGGGGGAGCGGGAGGGAGCCCCGGGGCCGAGCTCGGGGGACGCACCCCCTGTAAACCCCGCCGGGGCTGCCCGAGGGGCCGTGCCCGTGGCCGGGCGGGCGCTCCGCTCCGCTCCCCGGCGCGCTGGGCAGGCTGCGGCAGGTAGGGAGCCGGCAGCGCTGGGGCTGCGCCTCCCCGCGCCCGGCTCGCCCTGCCCCCGCGGGCCGAGCAGCCGGGGGGGGGCCGGCAGGGGTGTGCGGCGAGGGGGATTAGCGGGACGCCGCGGCCCCGCCTTCCCTCCTCGCATCCTGGGCGCGATGAGAGGGGGAGATGGACCCAAGCCGGCGGGACTGGCACCATGACATTCGCCGGCTTCGTGGTGGCGCTGGTGATAGGGGCGATCCCCGGAGCCCGCGGGCCGGGGCAGGTCTCCGCCAGCCTCCCGGCCGCCCGCGCCCCGCAGCCCCCCGCCGGCTGCCCCGCCGGGGGCTTCCCCGCGGCCCAGCGCCCCTGGGCACCGGCGGCGCCCCCTCTGCCGCGCCGGGGGGCGGCGGGCCGGGCGCCGCGGGGCCGCCGCAGCTCCTGCGCCCTACCCGGCGGCGGCGAGGGGCGACCCGGCTGCGCCCCCGGAGCCGGCCGGGGCGCGGCGGAGCGCGGCCGCGCTGACTGCGAGCGAGGTAAGCGGGGAGGGGGCGAGCCCGAGGCAGGGGTGGCGGCGGAGCGGAAGAGTGCGAGGGGCTGAGGGACGCGGGGGGAGATGGGCACTGAGAGAGCCTTGGCCGGGCGGCGGCGTTCTCCCATCCCGGACCGGTTCCCTGCCGCTGGAGGAAACGGGGAACGAGGGGACGGACACCGTCTGCCAGTGACAGCCAAAGCTGTTCGCAGAGGAGAGTTAAACTCGTGCATCAGAGGATGCAGCGGCAAGACGAAGGTCCCGCCTGGGTTTGTTTCTCCGCTATTCTAATACTGGGTAGGTGAAGAGCGTTTCAAGCGCCATAAGCGTTCAGTAGGCTCAGTTTGCCAGGGCTGGCTGGCATTCCTTTTTTGTAACCGGGTTCACTCACTGGGAAAACACTTTGTCTACAGAAATGAAGTGGCAGAAAGAGAAATAGAAGGATGCCTGGCTCCAAAGATGAGATGTTTACACAGTATGACTTTCTTTTCCCCCTCCCCCCAATCTTAGCATAATGGGGTTCACAAGTTAGTGCTGGTGCTCAACAACATCCTGAGCTGAGACAAGAGACTTGTGCCCCCCTCACACACTCCCAGATGAACTCCCACTGACTTCAGTGGAAGTTTTCAATGTGTAAGGACTGAACAGCAATTTCTGCATCCAGCACGTGATCAGCTTTACATTTCATCAGTGTTGGCATTAAATAAATTGATGTACAGTCTAGTTTTGAGTGACTTCACATTTTCTCCCACATTGCTCTGGTATTATCTTCTACCTAAATAAGAATTGTGTCCTATCTATAGCTATACTAAACATGACCAAGCATAATTGTTGAAATGAAAATTAAAATTCCCTGCTTCATTGTCCTTCCTTTTACATCTTTTGTAATAGCACAAAGTCAGCAAGGAGGTTGATCGTTAATATTACTTTTTTGTTCATTGAGAAAGCTGACTTTGTGTTGTGAGGGTTTTTTAAAATTAATTTACTTTCAGATGACTGAAAAGGATTCTTATCCTTCTCTTCCAACACTACCCATAGAAGGGATGTGAAAAAAAGGTAGTTTGAACAGTTATATGTATTGGTACAAAAATACCCCATGAAGAGGATATGGAGGCACCAAGGTCCCTATTGATCATCTGCACATCAAAAAATGCAGCTTCCTAAGTTGTGTTCCAAGTCAAATCTACTCCTTCAAGAAGACAGAATGATGTTATGCAGTACAGATGTTTCTCTGGGAAGAATACCAGGCAGCTGTTGGCATGGAGAAAACAGATACCTTTTTTTCACAGATGAAAAAAATCCCAGAAGACTTCATGCCCTTTAACTGATCTCACTTTCAGAGAGGGTACCACAGTTGCTTCTCTAATTTAGCCCAGCATATTAATAGTTTTCTTAGAATTCTTCAGTCTGGTTCCCAAAATACTTTATGAGGACTTAGTCTAATATAATAGTGAAGAACACAGTAGTTTATTGCTAAGAACCCAATCTTGCACTTAGTAAGTTTCAGAATCCCCTCCAAGTTCAGCATGAAGGGGATTTAAGCAAAAAAAACCACTAAAATACTACATGATTTGGGTTTAGCTGTGTTTCTCCAGTCTTTTCAGAATGGTGCTTTGTTCCCCCAGAAAAAGGAAATCCAGGTTGGCCCCTGCTAAGAGGGAAGACACAGCTACTGAACAATAGCCAATACTTTGTAATGGACAGATCATCTGTTCCTGTTGGACATGCCACTGGTGGTAAACTCCAGTGGCATCACCAGGGCCAATGTCTGCCCAAAAGCCTCTGTGGGGCAAGACGAAAGAATTAGAGAGTTTGTGAGATGGCTAAAGGTGGAACATGGACACAAATCAAGCCATTTGTCCAGAAATAAAAGATTACTGGAACATTCCCCCTGAAGTATGTTCCTTTCTTACAAGAGGCAAAAAGATGCCAGTGAGGCAATGTCATGATGTGGTTATAGCTACAGAGAGAGAGAGACAGACTGCTCAGAGAGAAACTCACTACACCTCTTGCTTTAGTACCTGGGCTAAGGAAGCCCATACTCAGTGTTAGGCACCTGCCATAACTAAATACAATACCATATTCAAAGGCTTACCTGTAAATCTCTGGGTTTGTCTAACTTAAATATTATAACTTATCTGCAAAGTTAATTGGCTAAACTTTGTCCTTATGCATATGTTAAATTGTTTTATATTTAAACAGTGACAATGAAATATTTTTAAAGCGACTTTGCAATTATACTGTACAGTACTAGACTAAAATCAGTTCTACTGTTTAAACTAATAGGTTTTGGTCTTTCATTTCCTTCCTTCTAAAAATATCTGGGTAACATTACTTATCATGCCTTGAAAGCAAGTAAACGAAATACAAATACATATAACTTATCATGATTAACCAAGGATACCAGAGAGGACAATAAATGAATATGAGCATACTCTCCACACAGAGCCCGTATACGTCCACCACAATTTAGTATTTTAGTTGCTACTAATAACAACTTACCTGTGGTGTACTCAGGTTCCAAGAACGAGGCCTAGCTCAGTACCTGGGAGCAGGTGCTGCCACACAGTGTTTGTGTGGCACATGGTTACAGCTTTGTGCATATGTTGTTCACGCTATGTTGTTCCACATCTAATTTAAAGCACTTTGAATCAAGTAGGTGAATTATTTGCTTTTCTATTATGAAGACGGACCAATACAAAACAGGCTAAGTGCCTTTGTCAGAGGTCAGTGGCAGAACTGGAAATAAAGTACACATCTCCAGGAAGGCCTAACTTTAGACCCTTGCCATTAAAATTGCTTTTACCAAAAGGTGATTCCACTAATGTCAGTCACATAAAGGTTCACTAAACTTTTGTGAGAGAAGACTCAAGCCTCAGACTCATAATCTAAACACTAGATTATTCTCCCTACCTGTTATACTGTAGTCCAAGCAGTTGATGGAATGACTTTTGGGACTTTGGTTTTTTCCAATAGCTTATGATTAGAAATGGAACATGAATGCCCATATTTTCCTTCTAAGAAGCGGCTCCTCTGGAACCATTCTTACCTGAGCTGCACAGAGTGAGACCCCTCATTTTCTCCAGCTCTGCCCACATAAGACAACTGCAGTCCTTCAGAGCCTGTTACATTGCTCAGTTCCAGTTGAGATTCTCAGAGCTTTAAACCACTGATTGCTGACATGATGGATCTCAGTGCTGCAGAGGAACCAACGCAGCACATTACACACTCAGTGTATACAATATTTATGAAAGTTCTAATATAAGAATCCTTGAGTATGCAATACTGCTACTGATCCTCAAGACACAGTTCTTAAAAAGTAGTTCTGCTGGAGGCACCCTTTTTCAAGGTTAAAATGCCTGGAGAAAATAACTGTAACTTTAGTCTAGGAGCAGTGCTCAGAAAAGTGATAGACAATAGCATTCATTGATCACAGTGAGCACCATGCATAATTTTGCTGAAGGTAACAGGATTAATTTATTTGAGTTTAGTCAGGCCTGATCCTGGAAGGGAAGTTTCCATTGATTTGAACCAATGTTAGGTTTTACCTGTGCTACATGCAGTTTTTTACAAGTACCTCATACAAACCAGTGAATTAGTTTTATTCTGAAACTGGGATAGATCCTTTAATATGTATTATGGATCCTCCCCATGTACTTTAAATACTGCAAGTAACAGTGTGATCCCATGGGATACAGAGCATGTATCAGTGGGAAGCCCTCACACTTGATGTCAATTTGGACTGACCTAATTGACTCCAAGACAACTGAGATGAATTGTCAGTGCAGGGCCTTTCTGAAGCACTCTTCCACATTGGAACACCTTGAATATTAGTGCAGAAATAAAAATATTTGTTGTTTGTACAGATTTCCAAAATTGAAATTACTGCTTTTGCTTTGGTTTAAATCTGCCATTTCAGAGCATGCTGCACCAGGGTGAAAGGCACAGGCAGTTTTTACTTCTGATTCCTATTTTCCCAGCCTACATTTACAGCCAAATTGCAAACCTTTGGACAGTGTATACCAAGAAACTACGGCACACCTTTAGCCAACATCATAAACACTACTGCTGCAGCACTAACACATACAGCAGAAGTGGAAGTGATTCCCATCCTATTTGCAATTCAGCCACACAGTAACAATGCTCATTCCCAGTGAAACATAAAAAATAAATCAGAGTTTGAAGTTACCCAGCAACTCTGCACATGAGAATGTATAGGAAAAGAGGCCAAGCACAACAGTGCAGTTCCTTTGAAGCTCTTCTGCTTTTCTGAGTTAATTAAAAGTTGGCTGGGTGGTTTTCCTCTCCCTGTTTTCCTGAGTGTCTCATCTTCAGCCTATATGGCAGGTGTTCTGGAGCAAGTCTCAGCAGCACCCACTGGATACCCTTACTTCCTTTCATTTGCAAGTATAACTTAATCTCCTTTCAAGTGATAGCAGATAGGAAAGACTCTGACTTGGGCAGATACCAGGACAACTAAAATTACTAGACTGTATGTAAACAACAGGAATTGACCGTCAGTAACCTCAGCTAAAACAAAATTACAGTAAATCCATACATACTTTCTGAGTATTTATACTCATTTTTATAAATGAAGGCATTTCTGTCAAGACAGCAGGTTGTATTTTTTGATAAAGGGCTGAATGAAGTCTGTCCTAAGCATATGTCTAGAGCTGTCTCATAGGCCTGCTTTATGTCCTGTGCCCTTGTTTCTAACTACTGTGGGGTCACGTCACCTCTCCTCATCCTCCCTCTTCCTAACCAGAGCTGAGGAGGGCAGAGCCATGGGCAGGATCCTGGTGCTGTTGTTCCCTGTTGTTCAGCTTTGTGGTGAGGCAGGGTAGGTTTGATAAGCACTTTAAGCAGAGGTGTGACACTATATTGAACTGGTGGAGAGCAGAAAGAGTAGATACTACTGCATTAGTTCTACTCCCACATAGTTTTTGAACATAGTTTTGTTCAGCAACTAAAAGAGCTGAAAAATTATGCTTAAAAATCTGAGATGCTACTGTACCTCTGACTCCAGAAACCTAGAGCCTCCCGTGCATACACTTAAGGCAGACATGTTTTGTAAGAGGGAATGCAGACACTCCTCTGCAGAGTTGTTGTGCTCCAGGGGCAGCACAAAGGAAGCCCCTGAGACACATGTTTGGGTGCTTGAGGTGTTACATTGGAACAGCATTAGACTCAACCAGTGAAAATAAGAATTAACCTGTATCCTTTCAATCATGCTAAATATTAGCTTTCTTGCTTCCTATGAAGTGAAAAAGTGTTTCCTGGCAATTTTACACTGCAAACACTGACTATCTTGCAATTAAAATATTAGCACATAAAGAGATAGCTGGTAGTACAGCATAAACACACACCATGGCAGATCATGCTGTTATCCTGCAATTCCCTAGGATCAACTGACACAGGAAACACAGAGCTGTGTTTCATAATGAAGAAAGAGTTTTACATACTGGAAAGAAAAACAAAGCTACTGTAATGAAAGTCTTGATGTTGAGGTTCTGTTTTATGAGGTATCACTACTAATGTAACTAATGTATCTCTTGATCTGGTAATATAACTACCAGGTGTCTGAACACCACAACATTTTGAGTAAACAACAGAGAAATAATTTTCTCATTAGTACCTTTGATATGTTTGCTATATAATTATGACTTGGTCATATGACAGAGGTTAATACATACTTCAAAGTACATGTACATTATATTTGGTTGCCTCTATTAAATGGCAGGTTTAATATTACCTACATGTAAAAATAGGCTTTCTTTTTATTTCTTTCTAGATTAGTTTATCAGGTGAAAATCAAGAATATTTAAAATTGGTTTAAAAATTACCTTTAGCAATCCTCTTGTGTGTTTTGCTGTGTTTACATGACTAAGTTCTTCCACCACTGTCATTGGGAAATCTGTAAATACAGAAAGAGGAGTGAGCCAAATTCTGCCATGGAGACTTTAGAAGAAAATTTTATTCTTCAAGTACTCCCTTATTCAAATATTTGAATAGAAACATTGTGTAATGTGTACTCAGGAAGCACTGTATTGATTTCAGTAGGTGTCATGCAGCACTGTAAGCAATCATGCACTAAAATATACTTATTTTTGGAGATGACATCTTCAAACTCGCTTTCTGGTATGTCAGGAATCACTTTGCTATGAGTGCAGTTGATGTTTCAAGTGAAAATAATAGTCTATACAAAAGTCTGATGAAGAGCAGAAATAAACAGAATTCCAAACTCTGTCTGTCTGTGACATACAGAAAAAACACAAAGATAAAAAAATTAAAGACAGATAAATGATGTGCAACATGTCTACAGTATAGCTATATTTGACTCAAATACTCCTCTCTCAAAATGATAGCTCACTCTGTAACATGAGTCAGATAAATGTTGTTTGTAGTTTACTGCACAGTAAGTTGCTGCTGAGAAAGTAAATAGGAGGCAAAAAGGAACACGCCAAGCCAAACATGAGGTTAATTAATTCCTTGAGTTATTTGGCAGTTGTTTGGCTTTGTGGTTTTATAAAATGCACTGAACTAAACCCAGGACAGAGGCTGAGAAGAAAAAGTGGATCTACCTATTATTATTATTTACACAAAGATGAACAGAGACACAATGAAATGAGAGGCACAAACACTGACTGTCTCCATCCCATTGCTAAACACCTGCAGACTGGATGATGGTGTAGCTTCTAAGTAGATCACAGAACAGAAGCAGATGGATTAACTGGAATTTCAGACAATATGAATTGTCAGAATATAGCTGGGCTGGTTTTGATAATTTAACAGAAATGTTTCTTGTTGAATTACTGCTCTGTCATGATTTTCTCTGTTTCTCTGTAGCTATCCCTATAACCAGCTTTTCCCACCTTTGCCAGGGCCACTTGGCTACCTTCAACAGCAGATACATCAGACATCTCAAGTAAAACTACTGTAATACAAAAATGCAAAATCTGCTAATTTTCTTGGATTTCTGTGCTCTGTAGCTCTCAAGAAACACTTTTTTTCCTCCCACTGCTTTCAGACAATTCCTTATGGTTTTTAGCTTGCTTTGTCTGAGAGTTTGGTAAAGACCTTTCATGAATTAATAGAACTACATGCAGTGTTTTTGTGTCTGAGAAAAGTATGAACAAATGCATTCTTTGGCTAAAAATGAACTGCTGTCATCTATGATATGCAGAATGTGACTTGGGGCAGAGCAAAAGCTATGCAGTCCATGTGGTTATTTTCTGATTCTCTTAAGGTCAGTGGAATTTTGTGAAAGATAAAAGTACAGCATATTTTATACAAATAGATATATACATACACACACACTGTATATATATATATATATATATATATACACACACACACACATATATATATTTTGCTCAATTTGGGTAGAGGAAATCACATTTCAATAATTATATGTCTATAATTACTTTGTTAGATCTTTAAGTTATAGCATCAGAAGGATCAGAAAGACGATGCAGTTTCAGTATGGGGAGAATAATGCTTTCCTCATGTACAAAAAGGGTTCTCTTAATTTGTGTATCACTATATGAGAATGTTAGGTGTGCCAGAATGTTTCTTGGAAACAGCTCAGTATGCATGAAACAAGAACTCAGGGAAAATGAAGTTCAGAGTCTTGCGTGAGATGCATTAACCAAGCAATAGAGTATCTTGGAGGTGTAATTGTTTTATTTTTAATTTTTGGTAACTAGGGTCAGTGAGACTCCAGGGAGGCAAGAATGAGTTTGAAGGTACAGTGGAGGTTTATTTGAATGGAATCTGGGGAACAATCTGTGGGAGCCATTGGGACAATAATGACGCGACAGTTGTATGTCGACAGCTTGCACTTGGGTAAGTTTCAGTTCAAGTAAAAATCAGTCAACTCATTTTCATGATGTTTCAGTATAAAGGACAATCTGCTTTTTAAATCCTGGGGGCTTTTTGTGTTTGATGATTGCTTTTGTCTGTTTGAATGCATTTGAATGCTGAAGTTGTTCTTCCCAGAATACTTTGCTGGCTTCGGCCGCATTACACTTCAAAGAGGAAATCAGTATTTCCTCAGAAAGCTGAAGATAGGATCTGGACAGGAGCAGACTGTGGCAAATGCTTTGCTTTCAAAGTGAAATGTGTGAACAGGGCAGCAAGCTTCAACAAACTGCTCTACTGGACATCTGGGAGATGTCCACATGTACAGAAGTACGTGGTCTGATCCTGATCTCACACATCTAAGTGTAAATTAACAGCTCCAGTTAGGTTATTGAATCTATAACAATGTAAATGGAGCCAGAATTAGACTCTACATGGGCTCCTAATCACAGGAAGATTCCTAATTCTCAGGGGCAATGGGTTATCCTAGTAATCACCCATTGTAGTATGCCAAATGACACCTGGAACTCATCCTACGTTTTTGGCAAATGGCAACACTTTAGAGCTACAGCCATACTGGACAGGCTGAAAATCCCTGCACTGTCCTTGCTGACCATTACTTCCCACTGCTGCCAGAATGCAGTTAGTCAACAGCACCCTTTAGCATAATGTGTCTGCCTTTATTGCCTTTCTAACATTTCTTTCACTCACATACCAAAGCACTGGTTTTGCTTGCTACAAGCAGTAAGGGGCTTTTAAAGCAGACTTGCACTGTGACATTCCTAATGATTAATCCACTTTTTAAGACTGCTAGCCAGAACTAAATCTAAGCTGGTTTATAATGTTCAATACTAATCTGGACACACCATGCCAACTTATAAAAATATAAGGATTAGATGAGATAAAAGTTCAGCCATCTGGAGGCTGTGATTTTGCTTATGACTTCAGCTGTCTACGTGCAGTGGCTCCTTCCCTCATTTTCATGTGAGTCCTATCTGCTCTCTATACCCTGAACATTTCAGCTGAACGAGGCTGCTGTTAGCAAAAGTTGTTCAGCAATACGGGTGAATGGTTTTGTCTTTTCAACAGAAATGGCTCAAAGCTGAACCCAGGCCAAAAAAGCCCCAAGCAAACAGTAGCTAAAACTTGGAGCTGTCTTGAATGTTTCACAGAAATCTGGATCTCTGTACCACCAGGTGAACTCACGAGGCATTACTGGTGCTTTTCAGGCGCTGCATCTATCTGTTCCTTTGATACCACCATATTTGGGCTTTGTTTTAACTTCATTGTGCTTTGCAAGGAAGAGAAGATGGCTTTTTAAGTGTTGCTGTAGATTCAGCATGAGAAGGAAAGAGAGCTGTTTATAAAATGTTCTGGGTGGATGGGAATGGCTGAATTGAGAAAAATGGATGGGGGCCTGATCTGATGGACTGTGAGGTGGTGGCACTGCCCCATCATCACAGCCACAATACAAGGCCATTTATGGGCAGAGCATGGTATGTCTGCAGGGAGTAAAGGACAGAATAAGGGACAAAGACCTGGTGGCATTACCCCTCCTGGAACTGTAACTATAGGGGGCTGGTACTATAGATTCACCTATGGACTGTGCAGTCTGTGTAGTTTTTGTAGTTAAGAACTGGGAGAGCAGGAATGTAGCTGGCTCTGCAGCAACACAGTCATTGTACTAAAATATCCCACAACAAAATGGTGAGAACTGGGTCACATCTGTTACTTTTCTTTGTGCAGAAGACAATGGTGAACTGTATGAAAATGTGATGAATTTACACTGCTGAAGAAAGCCCTTTCTTTTCTACTCCAAGATTTATATATGAGAAAATGTTCCCACTTCAGCCCTGCCACTCTGATATCCTATCCTGATTATTTTTACAGGGAAAAAGGTACAGCAAAACACATACCCTTTTCTGGATTAGGCCTTATTCCTGTTTTCTGGAGTGACGTGCGTTGTCGTGGTGATGAAGAAAATATACTGTTATGTGAAAAAGACACCTGGCAAGATGGGACATGTCCTCAAAAAATGGCAGCTGCTGTCACATGTAGCTCCTCCCTGGGTAAAAAAAATACATATGTTTTCCTCAAGTCCTTGTTTTATTTAAGTAGAAGTTGTAATAATTACAATAATTAAATGAGAAAAAGTGTTAAGATTTCTTGGAACAGATTATACAGATTGAATAATTGCATTATTAACTGCTCCAAATACCTCAAGCAGCACCTAGCTTAACAACTTTTTACCCTTCCTAATCAACAAGAAATTGTTTCTTTCAGAGGTAGGTTGTGAGAAAGAGTAAGAATCTCTGCCTGTAAAATAAAGACAGTTTCCCCACTTTTTTTAATGTCAAACTTATATTATTAGGAAAACAAGTATCATTAATGTTTTTAAGGTATTTGATATTATTTTAATCAAGATGCTAACTAAATGGGCAGACATACTATCAGATGTAAGACAGTGGTGCCTCAAGTGGGGCTAGGCAGACAGTGCTGGGGAGTTGGCAAGGCCAATCTCTTCAGCTGAAACCAAAACATGTGGCTGCAGCCAGTTCTGTGCTGCCTTTCTTCTCCTACTTAGTTTTTAAGTGGCTTTTAAAAGAAAATTTTGGTCTTAGAAAATTCTTGAGTAGAGGGAAGGGAGAATCTTTTCAAGATAAGAGACAAATTAAAGAATGAAAACAAGAGAGTTTTGCCTAAAGAAACTGAAAATTATAAATGCTTTCACATTTTTCAGGTTCTATTGCAAATAGCCTTTAAAATATTTATAAACCCCCCCCCCCTCCATCAGTGACACACTAATATGAAATTGGAGAAATGACCTCAGTACTGTTGTTTTGGGTTTTTTTTAATAACCAAGAATTAAATAGTAGCATTAATTGGCTGGAAAGTTACACAAATATTACTCAAATTTAAATAATTTGGATGTTAGATATGGTGGGACTTTAAAATAACCTGGTTTTATATGGCTTTAAACTATTTCCATTATTATAGATTTATTTAGCAGTGATGCTTTCAAGACAGTTTCTTGGTACACCAGAAGAGAGCTACTGATTTTAAAAAGAGTGGAAGCAAGCAGGGAACAATACTTGCACAATTCAACTGAAACTCCACAGTCAAAGAGATTTCACAGCTCTGATCGCATTTTCTAATGGAATGAGAAGGGATTAATTTCTCTGTCCATCACATAATTTTTATCTCTTACTTCAGAATTTACCCAATTTTGCTCTTACTTGTAGAAAAGTAGCTCTCCTGACTGATTCAGTATTTGGCCTTACAGCACCAAGTGTATGTGAATGCTGTGACACTTGGGTAATTCAAGATCAATATGCTTACTTGTATGTGTAAGCTTTTTCAGCTAGTGAGAGCGGAGCATAAAGGAACTCACTTTACTCTCAGGTTTTCCATCTAGAAAAAAGAAAATGTGGTTCTTGAGTGATGTCAGAGGAACCATTAAGCCATCTTCCTCCCTCTTTACTATCAGAATGATATTTTAGGACATGAGTGACCCGTTCTATACCCTGTGTTTGCTGCCAGGCCCTGTCTTCACTCCGATCCGGCTGGCTGGTGGGAGCAATGCCCACGAAGGAAGAGTGGAAGTTTACCACGGTGGCCAGTGGGGCACAGTCTGTGATGACCAGTGGGATGATGCAGATGCTGAAGTTGTCTGTCGGCAGCTTGGCCTTGGGTTTGTTTTTCTACAAGTTTGTTATTCCAGCAGCAAAGCAGAATAGTTATCAGACCCTCAGCTGAAGCTAGAAGCATAATTGTCAAAAAAAATGCTCCTTTAAAATCATACCTATACTTTGGAGCAGTAACTGAGTTTATTTATAGAAGATTCAGGTACTGTGTAATTTCAATTCCCTGGAACCAGTTTTCAGTATCATATGAGAGGGCCAATTTTGTCTGTTTGGCCAGACAGATAAAGAACGTCTCAGAATAAATGTTAACTTTCTACTGAAAACTCACTACAATTCCTGTAAAGTTTCTATCCAAACCTGTAGGTGAAGAAAAGAAATTTTTGACTGTCTGAATGCTTACAATTCATTTTACTGCAGAGTCTGACAGCATCCTGGCTTTGGCACAAGAACTCTGCTTTGTCAGGAAGGATATGTTTTTTGGCATGCTGGTGAGAATCTCTCTAGATTTGTTTAAACCATGCATCTCTGAAGATTTTCAGTTTGCATATACTGAGCTAGAGATCTGTTTGAGGTTTTGACAGTTAAGCTTGTCAATGATTCTGTCTAAACTAAGCATGGTCCGAAATACGGCTCCAGCAGCAGAAGAGGATTTTCTTGATTCACTTTCTTAACAGCCAGAGGGGATTTTGATACCCCATGGAAGATAAGTATTGGTATTTGCAGAAAAATGCTGCAGAGGTGGGAGACTAAGAGGAAGACTGCTGGACCAGAGAGGAAGGAGATGAGGACAATTGGGATGGAAGGCCAGTAGGGTTGAAGAGGGAAAGAACTGGGAGCAAGAAGCAGAGAAGATGCTGGGTTGTATCCCATGCAGGAGAAGGGGATTATGTCTGAGACAGACTGGAGGAGAACTAGACAGGTAAATGCAGAGGAGACTGGAACAGAAATTGCCTGTTCAAGCCTGCTGGGACTACAATGAAGTGAAAGAAGTGGTATTGAAGGTCAAAGTTCTGTGGCATTAATGGGTGATTCCCAGAGTGTAATTCTTTTCTAACTGAGGCCTTGGGCTGCCCATGCCACCCAAATTAGCTCGGAAGGATGAGAACTTTGGACTAGTTAAAATATTGTAGATTCCCTGCTGAGCCAGCATAGGAACCGATATGCTTCTCTGACATCAGTTTTTTTTTTTCCCAGCTTATTTTATGTTGTATTAGTATATTCCTGCACATTTTCAATTGGGAATACCCATTGGAAAGTCTTATCTTCTTGTAGGCTTTTCTTGCTTTTGAATTGGGCTGCTATTAATAGGTGTGGGGAGTTACTAAGCCCTGCTTTGCATTTCTGTATACTAATGACAAGTGTAATGCTCTTAGCCTGCCTCCTTCCTGGTGACACTAAAACTTTTTATTACTTATATTTAATTGACACAAACTGCAGTTTTGTGATGCTTCTAATTTGATTTTTCTGAGCAAATTAATTGTATTAAGATGGTGCTAAACCTGCTTAGTCTTTTTGAAATATGTCTAGAGAGTTAAAGAATTTCTCAAGTAAGCAAGATGTCACAACAAACATGCTAATTAATATGAAGTGAAATCAACTTACCAACAGTGGCAGTAGACCACCTCTGAAGTACTAAAAATAATCCAAATTTGCATACTGTTAATCCATCTGGAAACATGCCAGAAACTGTAAAAGTAAAGCTTCTTAGTAAATAGCTTCCCACATCCCTTCAGCTTTTCTGTAGCACTCCTGTAAAACTCCAGAATTTCAATCTACCATTAATAGGTGAAGAATAATGGCAACATCTTTTATTATTTGGTTTCCTAAATAATTTTTTGCTTGACACAAATTCCCCTGGTTATAATGATGGGATGTGTTGTCTCTGCCTAACTCTAGAGACTCTTAAGGGAATATGGTATAAATTGTAAAAGCATTCAGAGCACTCCATCATTATCTCTTTGATTTCAGCCAGCTGCTTAATGAATAAGGATTTTTTCCTTAATATTTTCTATACATTCCTGCCAACATTTTTTTCAGATACACTGAAAAACAAGGTGCTTTTTTAGTTAACTTAAACTAATGCTTTAGATAGGTAAATCATTACAGTCCAAACTTTAGACATTTCAATCTAGAATGAATATAGGAACCGGGAAAATATTGAGTGGAAAGAAATCAAACTATGGCAGACACTTATATATAAAAGACATGATATTTGAAACAGAATTGGGAAAATCCTGATAGATGATAAAGGGTTAAACACTGCATAATTTCTGTAATTCTAAAACAATGTTTTCAATCAACATAGTTTTTTGTGCTCAAAACCTGTTCTGCTGACAGAGAATATACCCCCATACAAGGCTAGTCATTGATCTGCTTCCTGTTCTTACTTCTATTGCTGATGGGTGATATGACACTTGTCAAGTCACTTAAGATCTCTTTGCTGTGGTTTTCACAGGACTAAATAGGGAACAATCACATTTATCTGGGTATTTGATTCATGTGCTTTGAGGACAACAGGTGAAAGTTGCTGAACTTCAGAAAGAATAGATATTAGATTATTTTTTACTATATATAGATATTAAATGAGTATTACAATTAGAATCCTCATACCCAAGCTGTTCATCTGTAATCTCTCCTAGGAAAGTTATAAGTCAAAGGCACAGGAAAGGAAAATCTTCAGCTTGCTTCCTTCTGACTGGGTGCTCCTTGCATTTCTACAGGGGTGTTGCCAAGGCGTGGAGCCAGGCTTACTTTGGAGAAGGCTCTGGCCCCGTGCTGCTGGATGAAGTACAGTGCACGGGAAATGAACTCTCGATAGAACAGTGCCCAAAAAGCTCCTGGCGAGAACACAACTGTGGCCACAAAGAAGATGCTGGCGTTTCCTGCACACCTCTCACAGGTACTCCAGTCATCAATCACCACAGGAAAAAATGGGACAAAGGCAGAGTTCACAGCTCTGGAAAATGCTTGTAAAGTTTGCAGAGGCACAAACCCAAACCAGATGCAGTAAAGGCAGTGTTACTGTTTTGCTTTAGAACAAGCATGAGGCGTAAGAAACAGTGATCCTTGTTTTTGCTTTCCCCTGTTCCGGGCACAGACGGTGCACTGCGGCTCGCAGGCGGGAGGGGCAGTCACGAGGGCCGCCTGGAGGTCTATCACACAGGCCAGTGGGGCACGGTCTGTGACGACGGCTGGACGGAGCTCAACACGCAGGTGGTTTGCTGGCAGCTGGGATTTAAGTAAGATTACTTGATATTGGATATCTGACTGTCACTTAAGCATGATGACAAACACTTACATGAACCCTGCATCGACCCTATTTTAAGAGTCTGCTTTTTAATATTAGCTGAGTGCTTCAAAGAAACAACCAAGTTAAAATCCACTAAAGTCTGCTTTCCTCAGTTTCACAGAGGTATGTAGGCCTTAGGTTAGGTAGAAAAACCTTCAACAAGCGTGACTTAGCAGCCTTTATTCACCGAGTTCCTTCCAATTCTCTTTTTGGCTGAGATCAATGCATGTGCTATAGAGAAGAACTGATTTTGATTTCTATTTTCCCTATAAAAGTTTGCTTCTTCTAAATCTTTGCTTGTTGTACAGTCATTAATGACAGGCATTTTCAAGGTGTAAGTACTTCTGCACTACCTCAGAAATTCCCACAGCCCGGCCCTAGAACAGTTAGGTATTGAAAAGCATTTTAGAAAAATCCCATTTGTTTCATGCATTCAGTCTTCTCTACTTTTCCTACTCATCTCTGGCTACAAAGATACACTCTCAGTAGGTGGCTGTTATCTTGCCTTCAAACTGTGACAGCTGACATTCAGAAAAGGATTTTGTCTCAGAGTGTGACATTTAAATGTACACAGAATACTAAGAACATACTTAAAGCTTCAGAGTCATTGAGCCAGCCATATGCTTGGTTGAAGAGCAGCCTTAATCAAAGGCATTACATTCTTAAGTTTGAACTAATGTAACAGTAATTCCTTAAAAAAAAACATTACTGAAGAGGCAGCATATGGTGCTCTCATTGAATTTAATGCTAATTGAACCTGTGTACTGAGAATACTTGAGAAATCTATTTCCTCAGGGATATCACTTTCTTTCCTCATGCTTAAGCATCATGGTCCATCATGATCAGTGTCCTCTGATCACTGGGGACCAAAACATACCTCTGTGTTGTGCAGGTATGGAAAAACTGCAGGTATGGAAAAAGAGAACTACTCAGAAGGAAGCTCCGGGCCCATCTGGCTGGACGATGTGATCTGCTCTGGGAAGGAGACAAACCTCCTGCAGTGCTCCCGACGGGAGTGGGGGAAGCACGACTGCAACCATCAGGAGGACGTCAGACTCATCTGCCACCCAGAAAACGACAGCCACAAGCGCTCACTTGGTAAGGAAGCTCTTTGCTGAAGTCACAGTATGAGTATTGCTGTGGATACAGATCCAGCCAAAGTACAGGATGCTTAAGGATTCTCAAAATCCTAGTATTTGTCAGATAGGTGCAAGGAAAGAACAGGAAGGGAAAAAACCTAACTTTTCTCCTGAAGATCACAGGAAGTAATCCAGTTTTGTTTAGAATCTAAGCATCCAGAATATTAAAGCCCAACCCAGATTTGCAAGGTAACAAAGTCACATTCCAGTGATGCAGTTGTCTCAGTCTCCACTAGATTCTGAACCTATTCAGCACCTCATGATATATACCTGATTTTACTTGGCACTTCTCAACCTCCAAGTAATGCCTGGTGTCAAATGCTCTAGACATACTTGAGCACTGAGGAATAAAATCAATAGTACATCCTCCTATGGCTTTGCATTCAGACAATCCAAAACAAGGGATATGGAGAAGATGGGAAGTTCAGAGACAGCAAGAAGGTAGGGTGAGAAGCATGAAATTATTTCTGTGTTACTATTGCCTATCATTATTGTGTCTAGGTGAATAGCTCTAGTCGCTGACCAGGACAGAACGATACCACACACCCAGATAAAAAGAGTTACTTCCAATGTCAAAGTCATACAAACTTGTATGAAAATAAAGGGAAGAAAAAGACTGATAAGAAGTGATGGAAAAATACCAATTACACAGTGATAAAAATATAAACACATTAAAATAGAAACAAGTAAATTTCAAAGATTCCTAAATCCACATGCAGATAATTAAACAATAATGCTGGCTGTGAGATATTTGCAGTAGAAACTACAGGGGAACAAGGGTTGCACAGCAATTCTGAAAAAGTCTCATTTTTACAATTTGCTACAGGAAGTGTGTAGCTTGTCAGTATGTAGCCTTTTAGAAAACTGCTGCCAATGCCATTTAGCTTACCCAAGATTATTTCTGTTGAATTTGAAATTGGTATTATATGCCTGTTTCCTTGAAATCACAGACTGAAGGTTTATCCCACAAACTACAACATAGTTTCACTGCACAATGTTGCTACTTGTTATAACAACATTCAGCACTTTCACATGTACTTTCTGAGTCTCTCCCTCTTTACAGGCTTATTCTATGTAGCCCTCTCAGCATCCAATAAATGTCTTGTGTTGCAGTACATATATCAAATCCTATTTATTAGAAAGAATTTTCTCAAACTAAAACTAACACGAATTCAATCCTGCTGTCTTTACAGATGCAAACCATCTGTGCCACTTTGCTCAAATTCCTATAAAATATCTCTGCTGAAGGAGTCTGGTTCAGTTAAATACATCCATATGGTAACATTCTCACATCCCCACTACCAGAATGCTATATTAATTTTGTGCTCATAAATAAATATATATATATATGTTTTCTAAACCACAAGAAGATAACAATAAAACATTACTTAAACAATAAATAAATAACAATAAAACATTAGTACTATTCTGTGTCACTATTTGGTTAATAGAAGTATAATTCTCACCTAAGCTGTATTCTTCCTGAACAAATCAGTTCAATAAGAAAATAGGAGTTTATCTGGCATTTCCTAGGAAATTTCTGATCGGAAAGTGGACAAAGTGTTGTTACCATTTACTTCCCAGCATTTGAAAAAGCATTTTTTCCCACAAGGATAAATTCAATGGGAAAAAAAGAGAAATTAGTAGATGATAGGACTTAAGGAAACACAGATATTACGGAGCACTAAAAAGGAGATAGGATATGCTACAGTAATGACATTTGTTCAGTAAGATCACAACAGCGTAAGTAAACAGAATGTTGGTGAGGTTAATCCATGTAACTGTCCATACAGCATGAACTCCAACACAATATACTTTAAATTACATTGCAAGCAAACATACTTGGATGTTTCTTACTTGAATACTTCTGCATTCATTTAATGACTTAGGCTGGATTTAACTAGCGCTGACCAGATTTGTGTTTGGTATACAGAAGTTAAGCATACCCTGAATTAATCTGAATTAAACAGCAAATGCAGCTATCTCAAAATAATGCTTTAAGAGTGCAATTAAGCAATTCCTCATCCTCACATATTTAGAAAAGACTGGGAACAGGTTAGAAGAATGAGGAAGAGTCTTTTCCATTATTCTAAAAAGCAACTCTCATGAGCATATTAAAGATTACCAAGTATGCTATACAAAAACATTGAGAAGGTGATCCACCCTTGAACATGACAAAGAGGCCACTGAGGAATTCATAACTGTTTAAGGGTATTTGCATTGCTTGCAGGCTACAGAGGCATTTTAGAGTAAGTAAGAATTAAGTATGTACTTTGCCTAATGACTGAAAACTTAACTAGAGGCCAAGCACTGCAGAAACCATGAACAACTAAGTCTGACTAATCCACATAACTGAAATTTCTTATTATGAAAGTATCTGATTAAACAATCAATTTAAATTGCTAGAAAAATAATGTAGAATAACATGCTGCAGAAAAATGTGCACAGTGATGAGAAATAGTTCAAATTCAACACAATGCTGTACTATTTTGCTGAGACAGTGGTTAGGAGGAGCAGCAGCAATCAGTTTGAGAATGGATTTATGGAATGAGATACAGTTACATTCACCCATAAAGTGTCTCTAAGGAAAATCTGTCCAGCTTGTAGGGGTATCGTATCAAAGGTATCTCAGGTGTTTTCTACCATTTGTGTAGAACTGTGGTCAATTTTTGAACTATGTCACATATTGACTTGGAATTAAGGAATCAGATGAAGAGTAAAGTACGGCAGTATTTAGTATTTGTCTTGTAATTTATACAAACGGCTTCATTTTGCCAGCCAGGGTGAATATGACTACTTTAACCACTGATATTAGGCTTGTTGAATGTAAATATCAGTTGTCCTAAATATAATGAAAATAACTAAAAGTACCAGTTCTTGCCTCTGTTGCTGTGAGCTGACAGCAGTAATTTATTCCCAGGTCCTCCCATCAGGCTGATGGATGGTGAGAATAAGAAGGAAGGACGTGTGGAGATTTTTATCAATGGCCAGTGGGGCACAATTTGTGATGATGGATGGTCTGATAAGGATGCAGCTGTAGTCTGCCGACAGCTTGGCTACAAGTAAGAAAACTCATTAGGCTGCTTGTCAAGTTATGTTTTCTGTATCTAAAAATCTTAAGTTTCTGCAACCAAATACCACAACAGGTCTAATAAGATAATGTATGTCTTTTAAAACTTGTCAGTTTGGCATTCTTTTAGAAAAATGCATTCCTACTATTTGTATGAAAAGTAGTAAGGCTGTGTCTTCAAAAAGAATGTTCATTAACTAGCATAACTGGGAATGGGAATGTTAGTATTCAGAAGTGTGTCAGTCTGACCGACAACAAAAATGCACATTAGTGACAGTTATTAAATACTTTTCATTATAAGTTAAATATTCCAAATTATTGAATCTATTAGTTAAATACAAAATTTTAGTTGTCATATTAGTTTCAAAAACAGGTCAGTGTCTACTGTCACAAGGTATGGATATGATGACTGCAGATTCAAATGCAGGCACACCAGCTACTGAATTCCTAATTTAATGGAGTTTTTCCTTCCTTTACTGATCTGGCTGGATTTGATGTAGCTCAAAGATCTGATGAAACTGTTACACAAGGGATTATGGCTCCAGTCTGCACGACAGTAATTTCAATAAGCTTCATTTAATACAGCAATAGACCTGACAGAAGAAACCCACCCTCTAATTAAAACCACTGCAATGTATGTGTGACTTTTGAAAGAAAACACTTAATCAGGCTTACACCAGTCATCAGCATTTTTTTTCTGGATACCCAAGAGCAGCAAAAAGATAACTATAGGGGAAATATATAAATAGCAGTACTAATAAGACTTGAAAAATACCCAGAATAGTGGTGAAATACAACAGAAAATTAGTGAAATGTCATCTCCAAAGTATCTATAAAGAAATTTGAGCTGAGGAAATACAAATCATATTGCTTGTTGTATCTAACCATGTGAAGTTTGTCCAACCAAATATCACATTATGCCTGAACACACAATATATACCTTGTAAAAACTGCCTAGTATTTAGTAAAAGCCTGTTTAAAAGCAGTACTACACTGTGGCTTCAAAATGGCAAAACTTGACAAGTCAATATATCACTCTTAAAAGGTACCTAACTTGCTAATTCTAGGATAGGTGTCCATCTATCCTAATCCACTTAATTTCCTCATTAACAATATCATGAGAAATAATAATAGTACTGCATCTGAAAAACTCAGCATTGTTATTCTGCATGGGCCTTGGTGTGGGAGAACTGAGAGGAAAAGATCGGAAGCCACTTCTGTCCAGGGACAGATCTGAGCTGACAAAAAGGTTGTTTCTCTGAGGGTCATCAGTGCTGGCCTGGAAAGCAGCAATTAAGGGACACGTGTTTATTAGGGGTGCACTAAAGCCACTTGTAAGGGCACATTCCTGCATGTAACAAAAACATAGATGTAGCATTTGTACCTTCAGAGATTTCCCAATTATATGACATAATTTCCTCTCTTAAGCTGCACTCCTTGCTCAAGAACACCACGATTTTTTACAATTGTTTCCTGAGATGTTTTTCAGTGGGGGTTGGTTTGGGTTTTCTATGGTGCTGTTGGTTGGTTGGGTTTGAAAAGCTTTCATTCCCATTATCAGCAAGCTGAGAGATTACTGATGCACAGTAAGAGATAGATTGTTTTCATACAAAGGTAGGAAGAAGGAGGTAGTGCCCTTTTACTAAATAACTGATAAGATCTGGAGAGAGAATTCTGCACTAGACTGCAATAAATACTTCTCTGGGGAAGGATAAGAATACTGTGGTTGGTGATTGATAACAAAGTAGTTTTCAATATCCCGAGGAACTTTAGAACAATGCCCTAAAGCAGAAACTTTGTTATTTAACAGAGAAACCAAAACCAGGTAAGAATTTACAATGAGTGCCTGTACTGTGTCACTGTGTTGTAACAGCAAACATGAACACATGAGCTGCCCACAGGTATCAGAGAGCTGGACTTATTTTTTTTGTGGTTATCTGTAATCACAGTATCCCTCACAAAAGAAAAACATTTGGAGCAAGAGTCACACTATTTGGGACTGACAAGTCAAATCATAGTAAACTCCTTAGGCAGAGATTGTCCTATACTGGTTCCAAAGGCAGTTAAGGCTTTGGATTATCTGGCAAATACCTTCTAACCATGGAAACTGAAAATATGTAAGGACAGTTGACCTTGTGGTATCGTCTCTCACGTAGTGTTTCATGAGCTTCTCTTTCCTGGCTTTTTACAATTTCTGCATTCTAACCAATGTTCCATACTTGGAAATCCTGCCCAGCTACCCTTCAGCACATAGTAAAAAAATCCACACAGGCAAAGCTATCCACATGCAAAAGTTTCCAAAGGGAGGAAGCTCCTGTGTTACGTTCACGTTTCAGTTACATGGATGTGGCAATAGAGAGCTGGTTCACTTTGAGCCAGTCACATTTCTGCTGTGAGGAAGCTTTGAAAATGGTTTGACAAATCAGGATTCCTCCCCAAAAGACCAAACCCAGCTCAAGAAGGGATGCAAACTCTCCATGCCATTCTCACTTACCTTCCCCAACACTGCAGGTATTGAAGAGGTACAAAAAGAGCTGTAAAGGGAGAGAAATACTTTCTTGCCTAGTACAGTTTCATAGTCAAATTCTCTTTCTCTGCTCCAGCATTTCATCACATCTGAAGTTACAGTTCTGTATGCACAGAAGCAATACTTCACAATATATAATTATAAAATATCCTTTAAAATGGAAACCTGTATTTTAATTATCTGGAATTCCACATATCTTTATCCCAGTAAAATGTCAGTGAATTGCTCTTAACCAGCAGGTAAACTTGTAGTTCAGGCACGCTTAGAGGTGTCTGTGGCTTCCTGCTTCTCTATATAGCCAATTGGGTGGTCTCTCACTCATAATTCCTTCTGCCTCTTAAACCATATACAACAAAATATCTATTTATAAATTAAGAAGATTGCTTTAACTAATTAACAGTAATACTCTATCACAGGAGTTGCCAAGTGAGATGCTTAAATGCTGCAAAAGCACCAAGTACTGGGTTCCTCCCAAGAACAGGGGGGTGCAGACACTGAACTGGTGGTCCAGTCACATGACATTTTTAGACCTCAAATATGGGGTGCCCTGTAAAAAACATGATAATAAAATATTTTAATAACTACTAACAACTGATAGGTCTGTACATCATTGCTCCTACTGCACCGCAAGTATACTGTATTTAACTGGCCCATCTCTCTGAGGGAATCAGACCTGAATAAATTATTTTTAGCTTTCACAGATGCTGAGTTTATACGAGGATTAAAGAGATTATGAAAAAGCAGCTTTCACATATTTTGTTTTATGGCAAAATGTAATGCTGATACAATGTAAAATACTTTGCACACTGCCTTCTAATCAGATACACAAAAGCAGTTTTTAAAAATTAATGAAATGTAGCAATTTTGTCACAGTTTTCTTTTTTCTACATACCAGAATAAGAGAGGTGGTGGAAGGTGCTTGTTAGCAAGTGAAACAGTGACGGGGTTTGGAATGAAACCTCAGTGTCTTTGACTATTCACTTGGAAATTTGAGTAAAATGTAGAATAATGCCTCAAAATGTTTAGTAATTAAAAAAAAATGTTCTGTTTGCAGAGGTCCAGCTAGAGCAAGGACAATGGCCTATTTCGGTGAGGGCAAAGGCCCCATCCATGTGGATAACGTCAAGTGTACAGGAAATGAGAGATCCTTGGCAGACTGCATTAAGCAGGACATTGGGATGCACAACTGCCGGCACAGCGAGGATGCAGGGGTCATCTGTGACCACCCGAGCAAGAAAGTCCCTGGGAACAGCAATAAAGGTGAGGCCCTGGCACCAGGGGCAGACCAACAGGTCCAGGTGAGCAAGTTCCTGGTAGGAAGAGACAGACTCAGCAATCCCACCTCACAGAGGGAACAGCTTTATCAAAAACAATTCTAGAACAAAAGGGGTGGGAATTCTCTCTGCTGACACTGTGAGCTTATTCTTTGCAGCTGCAGAAAGGAAGCACCAAGACTACTCAATCATTACAGGGCAGTTGTTGCTATGGTTTAGAGCAACCATGTTCATTAAGGCGCTTGAGGGACATGATGCAAAAACCTAAGCAGCTCCCTTCAGCTTTTCAAGATGTAGGTTACTCAGATAAGGACTGAGATCTGTGTGGTTGGCCAAGGTTTGCTTCCACTTACAGGAAATAAGGAAGAGCCCTATAAAATCCTACACGTGAGAAGCAAATGTGTGAATACTCTGACCACAGTCAAAAGAACTCAGATACAAAGCATTTCTAAGTCTTGAAAGAATTCAGTGTATTTTCCCCAGTCAAAAGATCTCAGCTATAAAGAATTCCTAAGTCTATCTTCCCCAATCAAAATTTGCCTGTTAAAAACTACCATGAAACATAGAATAACTTCAACCTTTAGATTTTTTTCAAGTTACCTCTCATTGAATATTGGCCACTTTTCACGTTGAGTTTAACACTCTCTACATCTCCCTTTCTGGTTTAGATTCTCTCGCTTCTGTTTGTGGGCTGAGGTTACTCCATCGTCGACAAAAGCGAATAATTGGTGGGAAAAATTCTTTACGGTAAATAATTGGTAAAGACAAGTAATTTAGAATATAAAGCTTCTAAGACATGTGTTTGCCACAAGTGGTTTGCCAAATTTACAGTTTTATTGTGGGCTTGTTGTTTTGTTTTTCTTTTAACTTGTCATGATGTAGGAATAGAAATCTACCCAAAACAAATTTGCAGGAAATTAAAAGGTATTAACTGATAAGTACTTGCAGCATTAATTGAAAATCTTGTGGGTAAAGTCCGTGAATGGGTTAAATTTTAAACTTACAAAATAGCTATTATACTTTTCTCAAAGGATATCTTCATATCAGGAGCTATAAAAACAGGGATATGAATGTAGTGCAAGGTTTTAAATGCCACCTACACCAAAAAAAGGGGCCTGAATATGATTCACAGCCTAAGACCTTATTTTCTTTCATAAAATAAGCCTTGATGATGACACAACTAAAAATTCAGGAGGAACTTACTTAACAACAGTTGTGACTAAACACAAAAAAAAATATATATTTACACAATCTTACAAAAGACATTGTAAAAAATACACTAACAGCATCATTACAAGCATCATGCAATCTGTTTCAGAGTACATGTACAGCACTGATCAATCGATTTCTAAGAAGACACTGCCCAAGTGGGAGAGCTTGAAAGAACAGTAACAAGAGGGAGCCCAGAAAAATATTTTAACACAGCCAGATAAAGTAAGATGACTTACCTTAGTAAAGAGACAAATGAGATAACAGATAATGCACAGCACAGGAGGAGACTGAGAATTCTTGCCTTAGAATATGAGTTCTAAGGACACTTGCTGAAATGCAACAGTGACAAATAAATGTATTGCACAATTTAGTCAGAGCAAAGAAGCTGGTCTCATCATAAATCAGTACAGAAATGTTAGATGAAGCAAAAAGGTGATGAAAATCCAACAGTGCATGCAGAAATGCTTCAAATTCAAGAAAGGGAGCATACGTATGTATCAGAAAAGGACTCAATGTCACAAGAAATCATTAAGACAAGGAACTTGAGGAAGTTTGAAAATAACTGAATACTTACATATGTACCAGCAAATCCAAAGGTGTCTAAATCACCTCATTTTATAAAAACATATTAAATCCTACCTTTTAAAATGGAGAAGTATCTAAATTGTTTTATTCTTTATGGGAAGTAAACTCCTCCACCTTACTTTTAAAACATTTGGCAAGGGTAACTGTGAGATGCTGGACTAGATGGCCCCTGGCAGCTCTTGTTTTCCAGCACACCCATTCAAGCGGACAGTACTCAGAAAACACTCAGACCTCCTGTCGCTTACTCTGGGATTAAGCAAGCTGACATTGCTTATAGGTGCATCTCTCTCCCTTTCCCTTCTCTGACTCCTCATATATTAAACCAGCAAAATAGAAATAATCCTGTATTCATAGGTATGCAAATATGGCCAGATCTACTATAAAAAACAGATAATCCCAGGCTGAAGAAAGGTGCTCCTCTATACTTGAGACTTTTACAGTCACTTTATATGTCTTGTTTTGCCACCTTCCTTTCTCATGAAGACAGGGATGGATGCTGGGTTCAGCTTTTCAAGAAATTCCCCTTTCCCCTCTGCAGTTGACAGGAAATTTCTGGTTTGTTGACTTGGATGGTATTTGGCGAGCAACCCACAGAATGTATTTTTGGCTCAATGAATGCAATCTGAGAAGAGAAAATTCAAATAGCTGACTGTGGGAGGAAGCACTTAAGAGTGCTGGACGCCCAAATTCTCTGTAAAGTAATGTGGACCATTGTTAAAAGGAGTTCTGAATGTTGCCAGGATATAAAATATTCACCATCCTTAACAAAGAGTACATTTTGTAAGTAAGCTGTGTCAGTCAAACAAAGCCAAGAGGATGCCCATTGCAGGTAACCCGAGTTCCCCACAGCTGCACACTGAGCACCGTGTGTCACTCCTGCAGGGGCGGCTGGCCGTGGCAGGTGGCACTGCGCCTGAAATCCTCTCATGGTGACGGGAGACTCCTGTGTGGTGCTACTCTCATCAGCAGCTGCTGGGTCCTCACTGCTGCACACTGCTTTAAAAGGTGGGTCTCTCTCCAATAGGGCACCGTGTTTGAAACTGCTCTGTTCTTCTGGGCATATGCAAAACCATTACAGTTCAAGCCCATGGAAAACTGTTGCACGGGCTTGAAAGGCCAAGAGTTGGCCTTTGGTTTTAAAAAACCCTACCGCTCAACCTCCTTTCCCTCACACAAACAAAACACCCTAATGCATTGAAATTATTTGGGTGTTATCATTCATGTGATGTATATTCACTTCAGTATTTTAGAGATAACACTTCGGCCATTTTAACTTTCTGTTCAAAAAAAAATGCAGCTTATGGCTTTTAAATTATAGTGAAGACAACTGAGCAGACACCAAACATAGGGACTGGAATAGTTTAGATTAAATTTGGTAACAACAGACAATGGTAGACATTTTTACTGTATCACAGCAGTAACTAAATGCAGGACTTCGCTACTGATGAAGTTACTGAAGTATAAAAGCATCAATTTGCACAATAAGGAAGCTAATCTTGTGATTAGTGACTATTTCATTGGAATGGGCTGGGAAAAAACAGAGGAGCACTACAATTTGAGGGTATTTGCTAGAGCTCACTCAAGTGAGCTTTAAACATTTAGAACTTTAAAATGTTTTAAATTTGGATTTTGAGCCTTTAATTTTGCACACTAGTAACAAAAAAGAAAAGTCAGATACACTTTTACTAAAATACAGGTGTGCATTACCTGTGCTGTACACCAGATGCACATCTTTTCTTGTGTCCTAAAATCATGGAGGACTTTCCTTGGCAACATTTCAAGCTGAAGTAGTCAAAGTTAGTAAAATTACCTGCTATTTCCACTGACATCCTAGGTGATTCTGCAGAACTATGGAAGCTCTTAAGTTGCTTTTGTCAAAATTCATAGACTATGGCTTCCTATTTCCCTGTTCATTTTCTCTGTAGCGATTGCCAAGGATGCTGCCTGAGAATCTTGAGAAAGCCTTTGATTACGGGCTTGAAAACCGAATGTGGTGCCAAAGAGTGCCAATTGTGGATACTCTGGGAAGCACCCACAGGTGGGGCAGCAGCATGGCTGGAGCAAAGGACACTGTGGTACTTCCAGATTGGTGCAGCCGCTCAAGGGGCTGTCCCAGGCTGCCCTGAAACTGTCACCTGTGGTCTCAGGGACCAAAGTATTGTTTTGTCCCAGAAGTTATGTTCAAACTGCAATCAGACCTAAGGATGCAGCTCCAACACCTGGTGGATGCACTACTCTTCACTGTAAATGAGGGAAGCCTTTAGCTCTAAACTGGCTTTGGACAGGCTGGGCTGAACTTCCAAATGATCTCAGAGTGATTTTCAGGGATAGGTTTCTAAGAGCTATCTATAGATCAAGTGCCTTCTTCACATATTTTCCACAGATGGACAACACAAAGGCCAGTATACCATTTCTCATATCCTGGAAATTGGAACACTGCTTAAGTAACCAATGTGGGCTCATCTATATTAGGAATAAAAATTAAGCTTAATTTAATGCATGATTACTAGAATTATTCACCAGTACTACAGGGGAATTATTGGTTCTTATACTTTGGCAGATACATTATTTAGGATAAAATGTTTGAAGCTATTTTTTGTTTTATAACTCATCCTTGTCTTGAGTTATTCCGACAGCTATAGGGAAATTGGAAGGTTCATACATTTAGAAAAAATAACTGGATAATTAGAAACATGAGGAAACATCGGAAAAAACCCTTAATGTATCCTATATAGAAGTTCATCTTTGGATGAAGGGATGTCTGTTCACAGCCTGCAGTTTTCTCCATAAAGCCTGGAAGAGAAATTTTGCTCGTGGAAGACCTGAAGGATTAGACCAAGAAAGCTTTACAACCAGGCAACCAGGAATGCAACCCACAACTAGAAGAAATATTCAGTGGTACAGCTATATATTGTGCAGAAAACTGTAATTTTTCTGCTTTGTCTGCTGCTCCTCAAGCGGGCTTTAACAAGCTATGCAGACCAGAACATTGCTGGATGGTATAAAAAGAACAGGCATAGGTTGAAAGGCGATGGGCCACTCTGGGTACTATTTTTTCCAAGCACATTAGAAATTTCCTGTTGAAGGCTATTAAGGGAGAAATAAAAAGAAAAATATTTCTGTTAGCTTAGCCATATTTCAAAATAAATACATGTACCCAACAGTACTCTCATGTTTGCATTTTGCCTGGGAAGGTGTGTGCATAATACAAAAATCTTCAAAGACATGCACAGAAAATTGTTATTTCAGCCACAGTAGTAATCTCTAATGTATTTACCATTTAGTCCACAAAGTGAAAGAAACTGGGATTATATCAGATGCAAAACAAGCCTAAGATTTACAGATCTCCTATCAGTTTGACAATAGTTTGTGCTTGTGATGCACAAATACTTTGTCATCCTTACTATAATTTCACTTGATGTAAGAGGTTTTTATTTAAGTTACCTACACCTCTAAAGTTCCTCAATCAACCCAAGAAGCAGGCCTGAACACTACTGTCATTCCGGTAATTATTTGGAGAATCCCAGTGATGTCACTACTCAGGATGTCATTGCAATTACTGGCAGTTTATGTTACCTTCCTAAATAAATTTATAATGCACACCTTGTACATTTGAAGAGCCACTCATGGCAAATGGCCGTAAGAAAATTGCCCTGTGAAAATATTCAAAAAGAACATGGCACAACCTAAAACCTCAGAAGGTTTTTATATTCTTTAGGACACACTGAAATGTCAGTGTAAACATTTGAGAAAGCATTTTTGCTCTTTAAAAAATCATTTGCTAACATCAGTTATGTGAACAATAAAGTAAGTGATGAACTCAGCATGCTCAGGATGTGACTCTGCCCGAGCCAGCCCTGTTTGTTTTCACCTCCATCTCAGGTACGGCAACAACACTCGCAACTACGTAGTGCGGGTTGGAGACTATCACACGCTGGTGCTGGAGGAGTACGAGGAGGAGATCGGAGTGCAGGAGATCGTGGTGCACAAGGACTACAGGCCTGACAGCAGCGACTACGACATTGCCTTGCTGAGGCTGCAGGGGCCCGAGGAACAGTGCGCGAGGTTCAGCACCCACGTTCTACCCGCCTGCCTGCCACTGAGGAGGGAGCGACCGCAGAAAACCGCTCCCAACTGTTTCATCACGGGATGGGGTGACACAGGTAAAATCACTTCCATGCACCGATCTGCTTATCTGAGGCTGTTTTAGAAAAAACCCTTCAAATAATTAAAGAACAAAATGCTCAAAATGAAAGTATTTTGCTCTTCTTTAACATAGGCAAATATTTTCTCTCCTGATCCTTCACCAGGAATGACAGTATTTTGTTTACTGATTATAGTTTGTATTTGTATCCAAGCAGTGATTAACCATGCCACTCTAAATCACAGACCCTGTCAGTAAAGTGGCCTCATTTAGGAATAAAAAGCTTATTTGTTGCCAGGCACACCCTGCACAGCAGCTTATCACCCCCTGCCTCAGTACATAACAGCTCTAGTAAATGTAAGGTTTCAAAGGTAAGAACCATGAATATTTTAATTTTAAAAAGGTTATTGAAATTACAATACTTCAATAGACAAATGGATGGAAAATATGCACGATAGAATTTTAAATAACATTTTAGTGTTCCCTGTTACCACTGACATTTTCAACCAGCTTTGATTTAAATAACAGAACATCTTGCCAAAATTTACAAGAGCCTCAATGCAATCTGCACTCCAGGCTTCTACTTGCTTTTTTTTGGTCAGTACAAGATTCTTCCTCTTCAAAGGTCTTTGGCCTTTAAATGTTTCACAAATTAATAACCATGTTTTACTTTTATCTTTTTGTGGTGCTGAATACAGTGCAAGACAGCAACCACACTTGAGCCTTTGTTCCAGTGACTCACTAGAACTGCCAAGGAGACAAGGCAAGGCCAAGTATCTGCCCCTCCTCTTTACAAGCATTAATCTGTGTGCACAGATGTCAGGGTCACTGTACTACAATGAATGAGAGATGTGTAGGGTGGGTTTTTGCTAAAAACAATTGTTAATTCATTGCCTAGCTCTGTGTAGCCTTTTTACATAATTCACTCTAAGTCCTGCAATACTGTTAACTTAGGACATCTATTTCAGGAAACATTAACCACTGCATTAATTGGCTTCAGTTTATAGTAAGAATTCACATCATTGCAGTACCTCAGCTGACATTTCACACTTACTATATGAATCATAATTGCTTCACAAGTTATAAGATTTTACTTAAAAAAAGGTAAAACCAACAGTGCCTTTCATTTCCCATGCTTTCAATTGAAAGAGGTGCAAGATACGGAAAAAAAGTAGAAAGATCTACTTGGTAACCACCAGAAGATGCAGCACCTGTTCAGGCTGAGCTACACCAGATTTGAACTGATGACACAGAAATAAAGAATTTCTACTGCTTTACTCTCAGCTGCTCAAGACTCCCCAAAATTGCTTCCACAGAGGTATTAAAGCGCATGCTCTTCTGTAGAAGACAAAGTGCTCAGAATAAACCAAACCCCATCCTTGGAAAAATCCAGAGAACACATGAAGAAAAGCTACTTTTTAAAAAAAGCATCTACATTTTACATTACGATAACTACCATATTTTAATATTATATGTACTGCAGAGATTTTTTTCAGTAGTCTTGTTTCTGGAAATTTTATGTAATGACAAAGCAGTGTGAAGACTTGAGAGCAAAAATCGGATTAAATCACAACTATGTTTCCAAGACTGACCAATATAATGAGACAATTTTTATCTCCTTTTTAGGACGGGCTTATTCAAGAACACTGCAACAGGCTGCCATCCCCTTACTTCCCAAGAGGGTGTGTGAGGAGCGCTACAAAAGGAGATTCACAGGGAGAATGCTCTGTGCTGGAAACGTGCAGGAACAGAAACGAGTGGACAGCTGTCAAGGAGACAGCGGTGGACCACTGATGTGTGAACGCCCAGGGGAAAGCTGGGTTGTGTACGGTGTCACCTCCTGGGGCTACGGCTGCGGGGTCAAAGATTCCCCAGGTGTCTACACAAAAGTTTCATCTTTCGTACCCTGGATTAAAAGTGTGACCAAACTATGAATGCCCATAATGAAAACCAAGTTTTGAGGCAGGACAACTTGAACAGCACACGCAGTGCACAGCTGGGGCCCACAGTGGGTGGAAACAGACATTTGCCTGATTCATGTGTTTTTGTTTTCATTAAATCTAAGCTGTATACACTCAAGCCTTCCAGTTAGGGATTACTGTCCTTCCTGTTGCAGAAGTTTAAATATTGCATGAACAAGCTACTATGTATCTAAGGGGAAAAGTGATAGCCAGCTAGAGTTAATACTGGAGCAGGACAGCTGGAGACTTTGCCCACAAGACTGTTGCTCCAAGCTATTTATGCTCCAAGCTTCTCTACAATTAATTACAGATCTCAATTAATCTTCAGTCTAGTTTATTTAGTCTATTATTCCTATGATTTTACGCTCAGTCCGCTAAATCTGACTCATGTTTCAGTAGCTTCTGAGACCATTCATAGCCTGATTCTTGATAAGCAATTCTGAGTATGTATTAAATGCAGGAAGGAAAATAATGGTCAATTATCACATTCCCAGTTAATTGGCTAAATGTCTTCACAGTTTAGTGTGCCTAAAGTACATTCCCAAGTAAAACAGGCAGTACAGTGACAGTTTCCCCACAACATCCTGCACAACTGCAAGAGCAACAACTTATTTACTTCACTTAGGTAGCATTTGTCCTATTTCTGAAATTCAAAATTTGGAGTATATACAGCATTTTGAAGATTCACTCTTTCTATTTACCACTAGCTGTCAGTACAGTGTCAGACTAACAGACATCCCTATCCTTTCACTGCTGGGCTTTGCTCAAGCAGCGCCAAGAACCTCGGTCAATCCTACCAGACAAAGTTATGCATACAATGGAGTTGTTGAGCCGGAACTTGTCTGAAAAGGTCTATAAAGTCTTAAACTATGTTTTCTAAAAAGCAACATTTAGACAACTCTCTCCTGCTTAGCTGCAACACTGGTTCAGACTGATCTCACAGGAAAGCTTAGTTTTCAGTGACTTCTAAAGCACTGACACATCTTAATTTCCTTTAATTACGTTTCCAAATACTGTTCCCCATGCCATGAAATCCCTAGCAACTTATTAAAAAAACGCACTGATAACCACCTTACTGTCCCATTGAGAAAGGGCCACCACACCAAACCTAGAACACAGCAGGTAATCACCTTATTGTAACACTGAAAGGCATCAGTCTGGAAATCACCTGTGAACTGACTCACTGGGGGAGCCACGACACTACAATCCGCAGGTCAAAGACCTTGCCGAGTCCAAGTGTGCTCTATGCATCACAGTAACAACCATGCTCTAAAAACAACTGAAAGCTGTGGGCCATGAAACACTCCAGTGTGACAAGTGTGGCAGATGAGTGTCACCACATAGTGATTGTGCAAACTGCGACCACCTGTGACTGTTTCCCAGTTTCCTATTCCCCAAACTGGCTATGACTGTGTTGTGTGGTGTTTTGTGAAAAAGTGGGGTGCTTGCATTCATGCTTTAAGTGGGCAATTATTCATTTTTATATTGTTGTGTGTCTCTCTGGTGTTGTAACAAATATCCAAGATTCACTTGCATATGAAGTGGCAATAACATTGCTGAAGCCCATATGATTGAACATTTAGCCCTTAATATCGCCAACCTCAAATTTAAGTTTTCAAGGGTCAGGACTAATTATTGTAACTGGTGCTAAACTAGTACATGAGGTGCTTTAATACATTTTAGTTCTCTGTAATTCCACACTATTTGAAATAGTGTAAAATATTTTAAAACATCATAAATCGCTGTACTGTGACCACCTACTGTTAGACCAATGCAAAACACTGTGCCAGTCAACTTCAAAACCATTGCATTTTTACTTCTATACAGCCCTTAATTACAAGGGAAGTCAGTCTGTCAAAAGTATCTGCATGTAACATCCAAGTTTTGCTGTACAAGACCCATTGAGACTTGTGGTGAAGTAGGCTACATAGTGCAATATATACGTGTTATATAAGGGGACATAATCACCCTTTAATAGCTGCACCACAGAAACAGGATACTTTGTGTGTGGGGGGGGAACTAAACCTGCACACCAAGTGTAGTAAACATTTAGATTTAGTACAGTACTTTGTTATCTTTGCTTTTAATAGAATGCTTTGTTAGATGTTAAAATGTTGCACTGTTTCCATGCTGAGCGTGTCTTCTCAGTTTCTAACATAAAATGAAATTGCCTCCATCTTATGCCATTCTCATTTTTGTTCAGTGAGCCTGATGGTGTACATGTATACAATAAAAACTGCCACACTGACTACAATTTCTGTATGTTAATTAATACCACAGATGTACAGGCAGCTGCTGCAGAACATCAGCTGGGTAAAACTCACATAGGCTGTACCTGATTAAGGGGACTCTTGAAATCATCTTCCTCAAAGAATATAAACCTAAAGGAGTTTGTCTCATTCCCAGTGCTTTAACTCCGACCAGTTACGTTGTCCTAAGTTCGTCCTACACTTTTAAAGTTGTCTAGTAACTGTGTTAAGGGTGGCACAAACCATGAAAACACTTGCATTTGCCTATGTAAGTTAAGCAAGTAAGTGCCCTTGCAGAGCAGACGTGCTGAGGTTATTACAGAGGTCCAGTGGTTTTGGAGATAAAGAGATTTCAGAGTACACACTCCTGATTGTTGGCCACCAGGCTTGGCAGCCACCACCTTGAAATGCAGAGCAGTAAGCCATATGACAGGGCTGTTAAAAGCAGAGAGCAACCATGCACCACCAGTTACACATGTGTGCTATCACTTGTTACAGCGCCACACAAGAAAACGCATTCACGTACTTCCACTTGGGCAGAAAGAGTATATGCTTTAAAAACCCCTGAGTTTCCTATGACAGCTCTAATCTGCCCACCAAACACAACCACAGAAAGTCATTTCCTCAGATCTAGTGCACGCTGTAATTAGAGCCCACAGTTCTGCTCCCTTCACTTCCAGCAGGAATGCTGACCTCAGCTGCCAAACACCCAGCAGCAAGTACACCGCATGCCGATCATCTCAGCTCCAGCCTCAGATTGTGTTTCCCAGTCCTTTCAAACCCTCCCTTTCCCTCCAACTTTCCAGTTCTAACTATTTGCAAAAAATACATTATTTGAGAGGTATTCCACAAGAGATTGTGCCAGCACAGCTGGTGTTCACTAAGACAGTGCACTAAAGTATATTATCTGAGTATGCAATGATGCACCATCTACTGGACCTCTATCCATTTTCTCAAGTATGGATCCCTCAGCAACTGCAAAAATCAACTCTATTTAAAGTTGTTGTTTCTGCCCTGCAGCACCTACCTCTGATTCAAGCCGTACCACTTCTGGAGCAGTTCCCAGACAATGCATCAGCCACCTGAAACCAGAGATTCTGCCCAAAAGGAACCCCAGAACTGGCAGATTTGGCACGTGTAAGTAATCCTGACAAACACGTGTAGGTCAAGTCTTAGTTACCAGCAGTTCTTCAAGAAAGGAACCACACTTGCAGCCACTCATGTCTCTTTATTGACTTATTCATACATTCGAAGACTTAACATTCACACAGAAACCAAAATTACAGCTGGACTTTCCACTTTCATTTTCCAGACTTCAAAAACTTACCCGCAGCTTCTGCAGCACAGGTACACTTGTTGAAACACCCTTCTAATACGGTGAGAGCAGAGGAGCCATCCCTGAGGGTGCAGTACAGCCACTCCACTACCAAAACCAGCACTGTAACAGCTTAAGGGCCAGTGACAGCCCAAAGAGAGGAGCAGCACACAATGAGATCCTAACTGTATCTGTCTGTATAGCAGTCAAAGCTAATTGTAGGCACAGTAAGCTGGGTTCCAGCCCCTCTTCATCAAGATGAGATGGACTGCAGAAGCTCTCATTAAAGCTCCAAATTTTAACTTCGTTTAAAAACTGAGATAAAGATCTAGCCTAAAATTAGCTTTTACTAGCTCTGCCTGATAACCAGAAATATTACTGCTCCCAAAAGACATCGATTCCAGATCATTAAACATATCCACCCTACCCTAACTGAAAATGGACAAGTTTAGACACAGCTACTTCTAGAACTCATATGTGGAATTTAGCCCCATCTTCTTTCAAGAGTTTTTCGGCTGTAAAAGCAACTTTGAGGCAATTTAATATTGCTACTGGAAACACAAACAGCAATCATCACTAAACAGTAGGATGCTCTCCCAGAAGTTGTAAAGCTGCTCTGAGACAAAACTGTTGGCATTAACTTCTAATCTCCCTTGTCCCCACAGCTGCAGATTTCTCTTAGTACTCATGCTTATAAAAAAGACACTCCTCTTGCCCAGGATATCCCCATCAGTCCGCGACCCATCCTGCGCATTCAGATACTTCTAGTTTGGCAGGCAAAGTACTGGCAGTGTGTTTTTTATGCTAGGAATAGCGAATTATGTTTTTTAACGTCTCTACATCCAAACCAAATTCCTCCTGGTCACACTGATGCACTTGATTACACTTTTCTGTCCCAGAAACACATAAAAATGAAACATGCCTTAAAACAAAACACCATGATACCTAAATTTCGAAGTACAAGTCACAGTAATCGTTAAACATAAATTATTAAATCGGTATTATTTCTGCCCTAAATCTCACCTCTGAAGAGCTTATTAGACACAGCCAGACACATACTTTCTGGGAAGAGGATTTTTAACAACTACGTCTTCGTGCTTTCAGCTTCTGTGCTCCTGCGGAATTAAAAAAGAATAAAAAAGTTTAAGAACTGGGCTGTAATAGTTTACTAAAAGAAAAAAAGGGAGAGAAACCTGAAAAACCAATCAACAAGAAAATACCCAAAAAAGAGACGGCTAACCCCATAGCAGAATCGGCTTGTTACTTGCCACAGTCAACGACTCATACCCACAAGAGGGTAAAAGTTATGCCAATTAGCAAGGCTCTGCTCTTCCATGTCTAGGAAGGGAGTCAGCCACAGACGGCAGCTCCCATGGATTCATGGATCTCTGCTCCCCTCACCACTTCCCTCGTCGCCACGTGGCGGGCGCCATTTTCCCTTCCTCTCGCTCTTCCTCATGTGGGCCCAGGCCCCGGCCCCGGGCGGTCGGCTCCCACCCGTCCCCCTTGTTACGCAGCCCACACCTTCACGGAGCCTACCTTCTGTCTGTCACGCTCCTCTCCTCTGCCGCCGTGGAGAAGGCACCCGATCCGCCGCCGTCACTGCCACTTCACCTTCACCCTTCTGGTTCGGGTGGCCGCTCCCCTCAGCGCCAATGGCCGCCCCGCGCGCCCCCCTCAGCGCCAACGGCCGCCCCGCGCGCCCCCCTCAGCGCCAACGGCCGCCCCGCGCGCCCCCCTCAGCGCCAACGGCCGCCCCGCGCGCCCCGCTCAGCGCCAACGGCCGCCCCGCGCGCCCCCCTCAGCGCCAACGGCCGCGCCGCGCGCCCCCCTCAGCGCCAACGGCCGCCCCGCGCGCCCCGCTCAGCGCCAACGGCCGCGCCGCGCGCCCCCCTCAGCGCCAACGGCCGCGCCGCGCGCCCGCCCCATCGGCTCGCGACCCAGCATCACGCGCCGGTGGCGGGAACTGGCCGCTTCCGGGACCCCGGGCTGGGGGCGGGGCTTACGGCGCTGGGCGAGGCCACGGAGCGCACGCGCATTGGCTCGGCCGCAGGGGAAGGCGCGGAGTGAAATGGGATCGATCCCTCTAGCCTTTTGATTCCCGCTCCTTCCCGAATATACCGAGCCGCATTCCCCGCGGTGAAAGGGGTTAAGGCATTCTCCGAAAGCAAACAGAGACCTTCAGCTGGTTTGAGACAGCGATGCGGCTCGGTCTGTGTAGATAGACGTGCGTGTGTGCTTGGTCCAGTCACCAGATGGCCTTAAATGTTACAATAACACTGCTCGGTACTTGAAAACCATGGACTATCAGAAAAATCAGAGGTC